TACGCACGCCCTTAGCCGGGCAGCCATCTCGTTACATATTTACGTCTCCTGAGGCTCAGTGACCTTTTGAGGAGTACTTGGCTTTGTTCATTTTTTTGACAGATAGCTAAATATTTAAATTGAGATATTAGTGTAATTTAAAAGGGAATATCATGTAGTATTACAGAATAAAATAATTATTCCCAGTAACTATTATACTTTTCTTGTAAAACACGAAACAAAAATAAATGCGATATTTTTTAAATTCCCAACTTTAAGCTTTTCTTTCATCCTTTATTATTAATTTGAGCAAATTATTTTTAACTTAATTAAATTGCGAATTCTTTGAGCTTTTGAGAATATTTTTTATTTGAATGTAACTATAGTAGTTTTTCTTTCTTTTTAAGCCGTGTAGTGGCGGTCGAAAATATCCACTACCCCATATCCTCCCGTGGGTGTCGTAAAAGGCGACAAAGGGAAACAGGCAGGAGATGGGCAGCAGCATCTTCTTGATAACAACAAACTAACAATAAAAAAACTGCGGTTGCCAACCCGCTCGCCAAGCGTGGCAACTATGGCAAATACCCCCCTATGAATGACAGTAACAAATAAACGGCCCCCAGTCCCCGGCGGCCCCGCTATTCCTGGCTACGGTGGCGACCATGGTAACGGCGGGGCAGGGGGTGCTAAGAATCTCCGGTGGAGGTTTGGTTGCCATCTTAGACGACTCGACCTGGCAACGTACAACGCACGCACCCTGAGGACTGACGAGAAGATTGTGGAGCTGGAAGAAGAGATAGACAAGTTGCGCTGGCACATTATAGGATTATCCGAAGTCCGAAGAGAGGGGGAGGACACGGTAATCCTCGAATCCGGCAACTTGCTCTATCACCGGCAGGGCGACCATCTGTCCCAAGGAGGTGTCGGATTTATCGTCCACAAGTCTCTCGTTAACAACGTTGTAAAGATCGGGAGTGAGTCGACGAGGGTTGCGTACCTTATACTCAGAATCACCAAACGGTATTCGCTGAAGGTCATACAGGTTTACGCACCAACCTCGGCACACCCCGATGAGGAGGTGGAGGAAATGTATGAGGATATCTCTAGAGCCATACATTCCTCCAAAACCCAATATACGGTGTTAATGGGAGACTTCAACGCAAAACTAGGCACAAGAGAGAACGGTGAGCTGAAAGTAGGGAAATTTGGAATAGGGCAACGGAACCCAAGGGGCCAGCAGCTGGCCGACTTCATGGAGAAAGAGGGACTCTTTATGATGAACTCTTTCTTCCAGAAGCGGCCTCACAGGAAGTGGACCTGGTCGAGCCCCGACGGTTCGACAAAAAATGAGATTGACTTCATTATGACGACCAGACGACAACTGTTCAGTGATGTCTCCGTGATCGCGAGGGTGAAAACTGGTAGCGATCACCGAATGGTTAGAGGCACACTGAACCTAAACGTTAAGTTGGAGAGGTCTCGTCTAATGAAATCAACGCTCCGTCCCCCTCGTGCTCTAATCCAAAGTCCCGAAACCTTTCAGCTCGAGTTACAAAACCGTTTTCAGTGCCTAGAAGACTGCAATGAAGTGGATGATTTGAATGACAAGCTCGTGGAAACTGTCCATGCGGTCGGAGCTAAGTTCTGCAAGACCCGCCGCAGAAGAACACAAAAACTCTCCGATCACACTCTTAATCTCATGGCTGTTAGACGGGAGATGAAGCTACATTCTTCAACAGACTTGACAGCATACAGGCATCTGAACAGACAGATTTCCAAATTCATGCGGCGGGACTTACGCAACTTCAATACAGCTCGTATTGAAGAAGCGATCGAGCGGAACCAAGGCTCCAAAGTCTTTGCCAGAGATCTGTCTGCCAGAAAGAGCCAACTGTCAAAGTTGAAGACAGAATGTGGCAGCATCGTTTCCGGGACACCTGAGATTTTGAATGAGATTGAGAGGTTCTATGGGCAGTTGTACACGTCATCGTTGGAGCCACACGCAAGTGTGAGTAACGATCCAAGAGCGAGTCTCATCCGACACTATTCCGAAGATATCCCGGACGTCAGTCTGAGCGAGATTAGAATGGCTCTCCAGCACCTTAAAAACGGTAAGGCCCCAGGCGAGGATGGAATTACAGCGGAGCTTCTGAAAGCGGGTGGAAAACCGGTACTTGAAGTCCTTCAGAAGCTCTTTAATTCCGTCCTCCATGGTGGCATTACACCGGAGGCGTGGAGCAGAGGTGCGGTGGTCTTGTTCTTCAAGAAAGGTGACAACGCTCTCGTGAAGAACTACAGACCAATTTCCCTTCTGAGCCGCGTCTACGTGCTGTTTTCGAGAGTCATTACGAATCGTCTCGCGCGCAGACTTGACGACTTCCAGCCTCCCGAACAAGCCGGTTTCCGAAAGGGCTTTAGCACCATAGACCACATATATACCCTTCGGCAAATTGTACAGAAGTCCGAAGAGTACAATTTGCCACTATGTCTGGCGTATGTGGACTATGAGAAAGCCTTTGATTCCGTCGAAATTTGGGCGGTGCTGCAGTCCCTTCAGCGGTGCCAAGTTGACTGTCGGTATATCGAAGTGTTGAAGTGCTTGTACAGTAGGGCTACGATGGCTATCCGAGTACAGAACCAGAGTACGAAACCTATCCAATTGCAGAGAGGTGTAAGACAGGGTGACGTCATATCCCCGAAACTCTTCACCGCTGCATTGGAAGACGTTTTCAAGCTTCTGGACTGGAAAGGATACGGTATAAACATCAATGGTGAGTACATCACTCACCTTCGATTTGCCGACGATATAGTCCTTATGGCAGAATCGCTGGAGGACCTAAGCACTATGCTCAATGACCTCAATAGTGTTTCCCAACGGATAGGTCTTAAGATGAACATGGACAAAACAAAGATCATGTTTAATGTCCATGTCACACCTATGCCGGTAGTTGTTGGGAACACTAAGCTCGAAGTTGTTGACGAGTATGTTTACCTGGGACAAATAGTCCGACTAGGTAAGTCCAACTTCGACCGAGAGGTCAATCGACGGATTCAACTCGGCTGGGCAGCGTTCGGGAAGCTAAGACACATCTTCTCGTCAGACATACCTCAAAACCTTAAAACGAAATTGTACAACCAGTGCGTGTTGCCAGTGATGACTTACGGAACTGAGACGTGGTCCTTCACTGCTGGCCGGATGAGAAAGCTTAAGGTCGCTCAGCGAGCTATGGAGAGGGCTATGCTCGGAGTTTCTCTGCGTGATAAACTTAGGAATGAGGATATCCGCAGTAGAACCAGAGTAACCGACATAGCCCAACGGATTAGTAAGCTGAAGTGGCAGTGGGCCGGCCATATAGCTCGAAGAACCGACAACCGATGGGGAAGAAAGGTTCTCGAGTGGCGGCCTCGTACCGGTAGGCGAAGTGTAGGGCGTCCCCCCACGAGATGGAGTGACGACCTGGTAAGACATGCAGGAAGTCGATGGATGCAGGTGGCTCAGGACCGTGCTTTGTGGCATTCTTTGGGGGAGGCCTATGTTCAGCAGTGGACTTGTGAAGGGCTGTAATGATGATGATGATGATGATAGTAGTTTTTCAGTAGTAATCATTTTGTTAAGACAGTCTCGCGCAGTCGTAAAAAAACAGTGACATTTAATGCGCTGACAGGTCAGGCGAGAATCACTCGTGCGGGGTGGACGGTTAAATGGCTATACAACATTTTAAAATGTATCGAAATTGATACGAATTCGATACTCTCAATTAAATATCGATATATCACAATTAAAAATATCGACGTAATATATTTTCGAAAAAATATCGATATTTCGATATACCGACATATTTTGCGCAAGCCTAGCTGTCATCATTCTTATTAGTTTTAGGGATGGTCGATGTTGTAGAAACATCGATGATGACATCGATGTTGACATCGACACCTCAACATCGTAAACATCAATATTGCCCATTATCGATGTTTTTTTGCACATGTATTTAATATGTTAGAATTAGATGAATAAAAAAATTGTCATGTTGTTTATGGTTTATAACTAATGAAATAAAAGAAAATGTAATATAAAACAGTAATTAAAAAATTGGAAGAAGTTCACAAATATCTAATGCACTTGTTATATTGTCCAATATTTTTGCAGATTGATTGAAGAAATAGTAATTTTGACAAAGAAGTACCTTTCTATCTGTTTCTTTGTTGATAAAGAGTTGAGCCAGTTATTGAAAATAATTTAAAAATAAAATTTTGTACAACTTACTTAAGCATAACTCAAAAACTATTGGTCAGACTTATATGACCACATGTGAAGCACCAAATTTCAAATAAAAAAAGAATCATCGCAATCGGTTCACCCAGAAAATAGTTATTAGGTAAAACACATTAAAAAAAGAACATACAGTGGAATTGAGTACCTTCTCCTTTTTGAAGTAGGTAGATAACCGCTCAGATGGTGCTGATGTAGCGATTGTGGTCAAATATTTCACCGCAAGTTTTCTTTTTAATTTTAGATAGGTAGAACCGATAACACTGTTCTAAACGTGCATTGGATCGTGTTTAAGATCAACCATCGGTCTTTTTTAAACAACCGATAAAGAAACAGATAACCAACAACGACACTAATAACAAACGAAATCAGTGACAACTGCGACTTTACAGTTGACACTTGACAGTTAAATTTGATACCCCATAATGATATATTTTTAGGTTATCGATGGGTTCAAGCATTCTGAATTATTCAAAATTTTAAATATTCTAGAGGAGATGCAAGATTTAGTTGATATTGATTTCGCGAATTCGCAAGTACCCAATGATCGATTATGGGTTTATTGACATCGATGTTTCGATTTTTGACATGTGGCAACATCGATGTAAAAAAACATCGATGTTTTCATTCTTGACATCGATGATCATCGACCATCCCTAATTAGTCTATGGTGTCTGTGCTGTGTTATTATTGATTGCTTGAAAAATATCGACCTCAATTTATTTCCATAAAATTTGTAATTTGCAAAAAAATGTCATCTATTATTCAAAAATGTAATGATGACAATATACCGTTGGCAGATGACGATCCACAAGTCATAATTACAGATGATATAGAAAATAATCATTTGGATCACGGCCGTTCTATGGATTCTTTACCAAGTTCGTATACAGGTGGTTCTTCAAGTCCTGGTCTTAATGGACCGCCTAGCTTCGAACCTGATTCTGGTATTGATGAACAAGAAGAAAAAGCTCGTTTAATATCACAAGTACTGGAGTTGCAAAACACATTAGATGGTATGTATCAAATGATTTATCTTTTTTCCATAAAATTTACGTGGCAAGCGAATTTAAAGGCCACTTGGGGGGTAGTGGCTACTGTATATGATGTATATATACAAACTTACATCGATTTTAAGGGAAGAGGGGTTTAGATGCGGAATTTTAGTTATTGAGAAAAAAAATTTGCTTATTTATTACACACTGGTAAGTATTTCCTAGTATCCTGCTATGTTAAAAGACAAGGAGAAGAAGAGGTAGGGTATGGAGATTGGGTGGCCTAAGGGTCAACACACCTCAACCAACTGTCACTATTGTTAATGCTTTCATTTTAATTATTATTCAGACTACAACACCCTAATTTAATCCAAATTCAACAGCACTGCAACATTTTACCTATGAATAAAACAGTTATCTACCTCTTACTTACTTACTTGAATCACATTTGGCTATATGTTGTAGTAACCAGCTGAACTTAATATAAGTATATAAAATTTAATTATTGATTATATTGCCACCCTTTTAGACATTTTGTAAAGTTGTATGATTCACATCCACAACAATATTGATATTTAAGCATAAATTATATTGATAAATCAATATTGATATTTAAGCATAAATTATATTGATAAATGCAATGCATGTAGTGATCTGAGAAACTACTTTTTGCAATTTAATTTTTTGGCTTACAATATAAATATTAATCTGATTGACATTCATTTTTAGACTGATTTACACATGCCTTTGATGTTAAAAGCCAAATTTATTTTAACATATTAATAAATTATAAATATGTATTTTGTTGTGTGCATAAATGGTCTATGCTTAAATAAAGTGTTTTTTTTTATCTCCCACTACCCGGCACAGGCCTTCTCCTCGCTTCTCATTTCTTAGAGTGGTTATGAAGTGATAAGCATGCCACACTACTCCAGTGCGTGTTAGTGGACTAAACATGTCCTTGAAATATATTATAACTAATGTGCAGGTTTCTTCATAATATTTTCTTTAACCATCAAGCATCTGGTTAATCAGCAGAATTCATAATTTTAAATGCTGTTTAAACCCGGGTTGCTCACTTATTGTGATATTTACGTCAAACACTAACTAACATGAGAATTTTTAATCTTTCAGATCTCTCACAGAGAGTGGATTCAGTAAAAGAAGAAAATTTAAAGCTGCGATCAGAGAATCAAGTTCTTGGACAATATATAGAGAATCTAATGTCTGCATCCTCAGTATTTCAATCCACTACTCCCAATGTACATAAAAAGTAAAGTTATCAAATTACACATTCAATATAGCACTTAATGTAATGGCTGTTCTAATGTTGGCAATAGTGTTTATCATAATAAAAAAACCTTGTGGTTGCATTGAAAATCTATATAATATAAATAATATACAATGTACAGTCACATGCAATTTACATTTTTATTATATGTATAGGTATTGATTTATGACTTATATTTTCATTCTTTGTGTAGCTGTTGTGATGATTTTAAATTAATAATATGTGCCTGATATACCTAGTGCCTACATTTCAGATCTAGAATCTAGAAATAAAAGAATTTGTATTATATTTCAATGACTAATTGGGTCAGGACCAAATATGTAATGTAATTGGACAATCACCATTAAATGAATCCCAGTTGAAAATGAATGTAGGATAATAGAATTATCTGTGTGTGTGTGTAAATCGTCAGATTTTAGGTAAGTGTTATTAATAAATAAAATTTACATTATTTTGGCTATCAAAAGAAAAGGGGACTTCACTTGCCAGGCACGGTGTTCAGCCTAGGGAGCGGTCAAACATTTTTGGCTTGATTTAGGCCTTGGTTCATTTATACTATTTTGCCACAACAACAAAGCTGCGACATCAACCCCTGCTCAAAATGGAGGTTGATGATGCAGCCCTTTTGTTAGTAAAGGTGCAAGTATCAGTAGTTGCCTTGTATACTTGGATGAGTCAACAATTACGATCGACATTTCTGTTTTGAGACTGAATGAGATTGTGATCTTCTTTGGTAAAATCGCCATCCTTGTGAATTATGTTGTCTTGCAGTTAGTGCTGCCACTTGTCTAGTAAGCACAATGATTTGTTTCTACTGTATGTTTTGAGGCAGTCAGTTGTATCATGTCATACATGTAAATTCTTTGAGTAGGTGTATATATATATTTTAAATTACCTATATCTTTGTTGGCCTGGAATGGTTTAATTTATTCTTTGCCTGGTATTGCAGAACATTGACTTCGGTTTTAGTCACTTTTAATTTGATTCATTCAATTTATTTCGGTTTTTATTTTAATTATGAACCAAGAAAGAAAAATTATTTCCTCAATTTATTTCTTCTCTCTGTATCTATTATATATATCTAGTTTATTTATGAACACTCGAATTTTATCGCGAACTGCAAAAATGTCGTGTCCGTCTGATCCTTGTAGATACAAATTGAGTTTGTTTGACTTTAAAAAAATATCCATCAAGTATGTGCAGCTTAATGATGAGTTTGTTTTTCCAGATGAATTGTAATTCTTCTTCGTTGCGTAGTGTATTTTTTAAAGATTCAAAGTGAATTGCATGCACTACTTCTGCCGTTTTACACATGTGAGTAAGGACACCACAATATGTCTGAATCCTCAAAAACTTGGTCCGGACCCAAATGCACAATGTAATTGTATGTGTGTACATATACAATTTCTTTTACTTTATAGTTATATTAGTTGTAATGTAATAATTATTCCCAATATATTGAAATATCCACTGAAAATTTATCATATTATAATTTATGCATAAGGGGACTTTATAAAACATAATAGTCGGACCATTAATAAGAAAACTGTATGTGGACATGGGTTTTACAAGAAAAACTTTTTTTATAAAAGCAGGCTTTTCATTGAAGTATAATAAGCCTTTCATTCAGAGTCCAAAGTGAAATTTTAAAGGGTTTGTTATTCATCTTATTACATTGCAACAAGTTTTATAACGCATAATGACACCATCAACTTACAAACTGATCAAAGAAGCTGCTAATAAAAACAATTTTTTTGTAAAAAGTACATCTCGGCCATTTCGTTCGTCAAAATGTTACTCATCAAACAAATAAAAATATTACCAGTTTATTAAAATTATTGTACCTTATTTGTATTATTCCTAATGCCATGTAGGTGAAACAGTTATAAAAGTGTTGCCATTATTAGAACATATAGATTATTAAAAAAAAATTGTGAAAAGCTTTGCTTTTTAAAAGCAGCTTTATTATAAATTAAAGCAGCAGAAACCTATTTGTAATTGTGGTAAGCAGTAAGTCTAACTGTAAAAATCATTGTGCATTGACACTGTTTTGAAATCCTCAACTTGTTATGTCAGATATTAATTGTAATTGAAATTTCTTACATTCCAGTTTTAACACTGCATACACAAAAATCTTTAAAGCTTTAACTTAAATCTCAGTTGTAAAGTAAACAGATTGAATGTAATTTTTTTGTTTTTAAATAGCTTTTAAATATATTTATTTATAATTGTCTGTTTGCATATTTATTTTATTGATAATTATATAAATAAATAGAAATGTTTGTCCATTATTTTGTTACAGTCCAGATTTAAGAAAAGAAAATTTCTAAATAACCATATTAAAAGGCTGAGGGCTTACAACGAATTTTTTCGAATTCGATTCGGGTTTTGATAACACTCAATTCAATTCACACTTCCAATTCAATTCTAATCGAGAAACACTATCAAAGTACGATAAAGTATTATCAGTGTCGTTTGGCACATTCAGATATTTCATTATTCAGTACTTCTTAATATTACATCATCATCGACATAACAGCCCTGCACAAGTTCACTGCTGAACATAGGCCGACTCCAAGGAATGCCACAAAGCATGGTCCTGAGTCACCTGCATGCATCAACTTATTTCATTTTATTACATAACTAGAACAAAATATTCAAGAAAAGCGTTTTCGTCGCATGAAATTACGAACGCAATCTAGCCAGCTACAGGAGCATCGAGAAGCTGAAGACTTGTTCTGATAATTTCAATTTGATCCACCATTCATTCGTGCTGGATACGGTTTCGAGAGTTCGAAATTTATTTGAGTTCGAATAAAATTCGATTGGTTCAGTACTGTATTTCTTCGGGAGTAATCTGGCTTGGTCAGACAAGCTCCCATAGAGTGGACGGTCGTATACCTCGAACGGGCAACCGATGGGTAAGAAAGGTTCTTAAGCGGCACTGTGCCGGTAAGCGAATTCATGGGTGTACCTCCCCCTACTAGTGAAGTGACGACCTGGTAAGAGATGCAGGAAGCCGCTGGATGCAGGGGGATCTGGACCGTGCTTTGAGGCATTCCTTGGGGGATGGCCTATGTTCATCAGTGGACTTGGAGTGGACTGAGTGTGTTCCTTGCATGGAATTATCATATTATTGAGAACGTGATTTGAAGAAGTGGTCTCTGCCTACCCCTACGGGAAATAGGCGTGATTATATTATATTTAGGTTTATATTATATCTAGGTGGCATGTTGTCTCCTCTCCTCTTTTCAATTTTTATACGCTCTATCACTTCAGGAATAACTTCTCTCTACCATCTTTATGCAGACGATCTCCAAATATATTCTCAAACAAGTATCAATAATCTTCCATCTGCCGTGCTATCCACAAATCGTGATCTCGCTATTATTTCAGAATTTTGCACATCTTATGGAATTAAGGTTAACCCTAGTAAAACGCAGGTAATAGTGATAGGTAGCAACAAACTACTACAAAAAATTACTTGGCATACGCTGCCTTTCGTTTGTTTTGAAAATTCCGCTATTCCTTACAGTAAGGTTGTAAAAAACCTAGGGGTTCTAATTGACAGTACAATGTCTTGGGCACCACAAATTGAACAAATAAGTAAGAAAATGTTTGCAGCTTGTGGAAGTCTCAAAAGACTTCGAAATTTCTTACCCATTTCTACCAAAATTGCGTTAGCACATTCCATTTTGTTGCCTATTTTAGACTATGCTGATATATGCTACACTGATATTACCATGGAGCAATTAAACAAGCTTGAGCGTCTTCAAAATCTTTCCATTCGGTTCATATTTGGCTTACGCAAATATGACCATGTATCCCAATTTCGAAAACAACTCAAGTGGCTCCCAATTCACCTTCGCCGGAATGTTCATTTACTTTCTTTACTTTTTTGTGTTCTGTTTGATCCGAAATCTCCAAGGTACCTTAAGGAACAATTTCACTATCGATATGAATTTCATGATCGTAGTTTGCGTTCAGTGTATAGCTTGGCTTTGAACACTCCTTACAGCGTAACTTCTTTTTATAATAAGTCATTTACTTCACAAGCAACCAGACTCTGGACAACTGAAGGAGTATTATTTGAATTTCCCGTCATAATTATAAATTATATGCATTTCCTCTTTTTATAAATACTTGTCTTTTTTTTTCTTTTTGCTTAATTTTCTCTGCATATATATATATATATATGTATGTGTATATATATATATATATATATATATATATATATATATATATATATATGTATATATTTATCTATATGTATGTATATATGTATATATTTATTTATTTATGTTTATTAAATTTATAATATTATATATTATATAATTCATATATTTATATAAATCGTGTTTAATTATAAGTTTTTGTCCTCAGTTTCATTTTATATTGCACGTTGCACCTATCCGTCAAAATATATTACATTGTTCCCTATTACGTTCGGTTTGTCAGGTAGAAATCGCTTAAAGCGATATGACCACCGTTTGTAGTTCTTAAGTTGTTCCGTAATTGTAACACTTTGTATAAATGCAATAAAGAGTTATCTATCTATCTATCTATCTATTTATATGATTTGCATCGTCGTCACTTAAAGAGTACGCGAAGAGAAAAATCGTCATCGCGACGGATATCGTCTAATTACTACATATTTATTAATCTGTGATATCGTATATCGATACCCACTAAGCACAAACCTTTTACGGATTTAGAGACTTCGAAAGATGATTCTGCTGTCAGAGTGATTGGTAGTCACACGTGTTTCAGCGATTTTCGGATATATTTTTGTGTTGAGCTTCGTTAATATCTTTGCCGTCTTCTGTGTTTGTTATTATATAAATTTGTTTTGTGTTGTTCATTACTTATTTGTTGGTAAGTAGCGATAGTTAATCAATTTATGTATTCTTAACTAACACGATGGACGTTGACGGGGTGGATTTGGAACCACCGGATAAAGACAATCCATCTGGTTTCGGTCCCTCT